TGTTCTACATAGAAACGGATACTTCCTACTGGAATCTAGGACACTAATAAGATCCCTAGGGATTCTAATTTACGAAGCGCAAGGGTGAACAACACAGTTTCTCATATGGCAACATTTAATTAAAATATAAATTAGAATTAGTACAATATTAAAAACGCAATATCTTCTAAACTAATTATCCTTCGAGTTTTTGAACAAAATAATTTTATAGAAAACTAGCTGTCGCCCGCGACTCCGTCCGCGCGGGATTAAAAATAGATGTTGGCCGATTCTCAGCCCTACTCAATATGATCACAACATTTCATGAGAATCGGTCAAGCCGTTTCGGAGGAGTATGGGAACGAAAATTGTGACACGAGAATTTTATATACATATAAGATGTTATCATCTTCCTTGTAAGATACCTAAAACTAGATAAATTTGAAAACTCTGAATGTTACCCCAAAAATAGATACGTGTTTTAACCCTTTGAACGCCGGTGAAGGTTATTGTGAACGTCAAAGTGGTTTTATGTTTTATCATAAATATGTATCACCACAATACTTTCGGTTTACGTATTTTGTTATTTATTGCACAACAACTTATTTCATATTTCTCATTATGTTTTCAATAACCATGATATGTCTAAAATCCATGTCTAATATCCACGCGGACGGAGTCGCGGGCGACAGCTAGTTTAAAATAAAATTTATTCGAAACATTGTTTAACATTTACATTAAAGCGCTCTATTTTTTAACAGTTTAAAATATATTGCAAATTTAAATTATAAAACCGTACATTTCTTATAAAATAAAGTATACATTGCTTGACAGTTATTAACGGGTTAATCAGCAGTTCCTTCTTAATTAATTAACCAGATGTGAGAGCTGGGAGTTTATTAGCGGTTTCACTGAAGAAAATACTGGGAGTACATAAAAGTGTTTTAAATGAAGTCTTAATATATCTATTTTATTGAGTACAAAGACTTTTAAGTAAACTATACGTTTTTTAACTATATACGTCGTATTTTTACTGCGTCTGGTTGAGAATTCATGATTTCAATTTATAGTAGAGACTAAGTATTTTTTAACTAAGAAATACTTACGTATCACTTGTATTATGTGTAAAAAAGTTAACTTAGTGATGAACTTAACTTTAGATCTGTTTATATCTCTTCTGAATTAATTTATTTTTCGGCTTACATAATTTTGTAGTGTTAGAAAAAGTCAATCTCACAGTTGACTGACTTTAAATTTACTATAAAGTCTAAAAGATGTGCTTTCGTCTAGTCTAGGGCTTTATCGTTTATTTTAGTCACTTTTACGATGTTTCCGTCCTTCAGTTTTTTCGTATTAACTTTTGTAACAGCTTTTGTAAGAAAATCAGTCCACAAACATGTTGACATTGAACTACTGAATTTTAGTCACAACGTGAAGATGTACTTAGTATATGTTAAATAAATAGAAATAGAAGTCGAATAGGAAGCGATTTTTCTATGAGCTAAATAGCAATAAATTGTTGATATGACATAATCTATAAAACCGATCGACCGATATACAATTTCATACAACTTTGTCCCCCCATAACTTTCAAATTCATCTATTAAGGTGTCACTGGAAAACTTTGACCTTTGTCATGTGATATCATTCCGACGTTCTTACGATGAAGGAAAACATCGTGAAGTATCCTGCACATATCTGTGAAGAAATTCACAGATATGAAGTCAATCCGCATTGCGCCAGCGTGGTCGACAATGGCCTAGTCACCCTTACTTAGGGTAGGCTCCGAGCCCTTCAGTGGGGATATATAAGTAAGCGGATGATAATGATATACGAGTAATTTATTGAGCAATTATTAAATCAATGTTTATACGCAGAAATGACTATATTTAATGTTCTTTGTATTCGTAAAAATGTCGATATTTATGAGTATAAGACAATGAAATTATCATTACCTCATCAAATATCATAGATAACGACTTTTCTTATGTTTTATTTATGTCTCATCTTACTATATCTCATTCAACTCGTGTTATGAATAATGCAATTTATCGAAACATAATTTTGAAGTGTTCAAAAAGTAAAATAAATAATAATCTTTTGATTTTATTTTGAAAAAACCCAATTTTTTGTTAGACTCTTTATGGTCGACTAAAACGAAGATATGTATAACTTAAAAAAAAAAACTATTTATTTCTGGTTATAAATATAGGCCATTTTATTGATAACTAGTTGTCGCCCGCGACTCCGTCTGCGTGGAAATATAAAAAAAATATATTTAGATAAGTTAAATAAAAAGCAGATCTTCAAGGCATAAATTCGAAAAAAAGAATAAATAGTATCCTATGTCCGACTTCTGGCTCTAAGCAACCTCTTCACCAGTTTTCAGCCATATCGGTAGAGCCGTTCTTGAGTTATAGTGTAACTAACACGGCTTTCTTTTATATATATAGATATTTTTATGGTAGTTTCTAAGTTTATTCTTTCCATAAAAATATATAAAAAATAATCTGTCCTCTTTATAATATTGGTACAGATTTACCGTCTTATTACCGAAGCTGAAGCTATTTGCTTAAAGAAAAAAGTACTTATTTGTTGAAATAAAAAATCACCTAATCAAAGTTGCGTAGTAACTAACTTATATATAATATAAAACTTCAAGCATTACTTTCTTACTTAAGGGTTTTATTTTCCTCGTCTTCCTCGTTTTAGCCATGGGATATCATTTCCTAGCAATTTGGCTTACATACAAATTGCCGTAAGACAATAATAAATGACGCGTAAACCAATTTCTTTTTCACTTTTTGTTTTACTTCCCTTACCAGTAAATGACTCGGGACATAAAAAGTTGAGAATGTATTCCATTGCCGAGTATAAAGTGTGAATGAACATTGGTGTTAGGTAATTTTGGTGCTTGCCAAAATACGTTGGCAACATTACAAAAGGAAAACAACGTGATTCGTGTGATAATTTCTATGGTCAATTCTCGGCGAGCGACAGAGAGAAACAATGAAATTCTAATCTACGAATTAAAACTAGTTGCGACCGCTACGATAGCGTAGACATGCGCTACGCCGTAGGCGATTGCTACGGAATGCTTAGTAACTTAATACAGCGGGTCCCGTATGCGATGTAGGTTAAAAGGGTCAATTCAATATTCTTTATAAAACGTGGGATGAAAGTTTACGTTGGGACGTTTTCAAAGTAAGAAATAGCATAAAGTATTGTTTCGTTGAATAATAATTTAATAACTGATTTAACCATGCAAAACAAAATTATGAGTATCGATTAAATGGTTTAGAAGTTCAGTCGCACACAGAAAAAAAAATTG